GCCCACTATGATAGAAATTATCTTATTTATCCATTCGGATTCAAGATTCGTAACCTATTAAAATAAAAAAAAAACAAAGTCTAAGAATATTTTCGAAAAAAGCCAAGCCTTATTATTATTAGCATTAAAATATTTCAGTAATTGGTAGTTTCATTTACTGTACTCTATTGTTGAGAAAGTCGGCTGAGCTTGTAGGGACCCTGGATACACAATAAGGACCCCTCTTTAAGCCCTGCTACATAGAGCGACTTTTTGGTTATGTACCTAGTCCGCAGGAAAAAATAGCGTGTCAGAGACGCCCTCTAGTTCAGCTGACCTCCTCAGGTTCGTGGTCTAGAGGCTCCAGACGGAGAGGAGAATTCCCCCATGGGGATATGCCATCCGTCTGGAATACCCCTAGAGGCACTCGCCAAATCTCGCCTTGAGGTCCCCTTAGGATCTCGCCGTCCCCAAACCCGGTGATCAACAGCATATACACTAAAAAAAACTCAAAAAATTAGCACCAATATAAAATTATTCATTACATTGCTGTTGAACCAACTTGGCGTTACTACTAGATTTATAGTCTATGAACCATTCGTCATGTTCATTATATGGAAATATGTTAAGGGTAATCCACCCCTATTTTTTTTTTCAATTATATATATATTTATTTTATTTTATTTATGATACAGCATTAGTAAATACATATAACCCTGAATTTTCAACCCTTTACAATCAACCCCTATTTTTTTATGGCGGTACGAAGTTCGCTGGGTCAGCTAGTAAAATTATTATTTATAGTGAAATTTTTATGACATTGCCACAAAGCTTTTCTTTCATCTTAATTATGTCGCATTAGTTTTAAGTGTTATTAAAAATTGAAACCTTGTCAACTAGCAGCGTGCAGCGGTGGTTCAGTGGTAGAAAGCTCGCCAGTGTGGCACTGCCACGCGGGCCCGGATTCGATTCCGAGCTGAGGCAATACTTTTAAAGTGAAACTTCTTTTCGGATGGGGTGTAAATGGAAAAGTTCTATGGAAAAATAAAACGTAAATGCGTCACGAGCGTCATACGTCTATATATATATATATATGCGTGTGTGCATGTGTGGGGGGTGCTTGCGCAGCTCTTCCCGACGAGCATGAAAGGTGGAGGGTAACGGCGACGGTTTTTCTTTTCTTTTTTTCATATTTGAGTTTTTCGCTGGTGCAAAATAGATCGCAATAGAAGTAAAATGATAAAGACAAAAATAATGTTAACGGCGTCGGGCGAGTGCTTAAGGGCGGGCGGGCGACGCGCAGGTCAGTGGCCCTTCAACAGTTCGGTCGACCACCAGCTATAACGTGCTGGTGGTGGACGAGAGATAGAGAGAGAAACGGCGAAGGTTGAAACGCTAAGAGGATTGTCTTCATCTCGCGCGTCGCCGGCGCCAAAGGCCGCGCCGCGGCATGCGGAGAGTCTGTTCAGGGGGCCATTCGCCTAACGGAAATGCTGTGGAAAACGCTAACGCTTTCGATTTTATTTTGTTATTTTTAGCCGCCTGTGGTTCGTATCGTAAATCGTAAGCGTTAGCGTTTTCCAAAGCATTTCCGTCTTAGATTAAAACAAAAAGGGTAGATACGGCACTAGCCTCACAAAAGTGATCCGCACAAATTGTGGTCCACGACCCTAATCGCTTTAGTCACAACTTGACATGCAAACGACGTACGAACGCCAAAAATAAATATTGATAATATTTTGTGTTTATATGATAAAACAATGCCTAAGTATGTTTTTAAAAAGTGCTGAAATTGCTCAAGAACTAAAAATAAAACCCACGGAATCACTTTCCATTCGTAAGTACTATAAAATATAATTTTCCATAAAAAATGCTGTTTGTTTTGAATCTTATTCGGTAGTGACGTGGAGTACCGGTCGCGTGATTGGTCGGTAGTGCAGTGACGCGGATCTCGCCGTCTCGTTCGCGCTGCCGTTGAAACTTAACGTGCTGTTTCGCTCAGGTCGGTAATACAGTGACTCGGATCTCGCCGTCCCGTTCGCGCTGCCGTGGGATCAGTTTTTGTTTGATGCAAGTATGAGCGTACCGTATCTACCCTTTTTGTTTTAATCTTAGATTTCCGTTAGGCGAATGGCCCCCTGGGCTGAAACCCTACGAGCATCACACGCGACAATATTACCCGTATATGAGTGACGCGTGCGCTGCTCCGTTCCCCTATAAATATTCACCGCCTTACGTTAGGTTATTTAAGAAAAGAAGTTTCACTTCAGGCATGTGGTCCGTGCACACAATTTTATTTTATTAATGATTTTAAAATTTTCGCTTGCATACTGGTTTCATAAAACCACACCATTTTTTTGTTATTAGATCACATAAGAATCGAACTTCGCAAAAGTATGAAAGTCAAGAAAATGCGGTCGAAAAGTATAATAATATCGTTTAAATTTTAATGAATACTTTTAGTGGTATCATACTCGTTATAATAAATAATGTTTACCTGACTACTAACCGGCGTTTTCTAGTTCATACTTAAGTACACAACAACAAACTAACAACAGGTGTCTGTGTGTGTGTGCGTACTATTGTGTATCATTGGATGCACTCGTGTGACGTAAGGCGTACATCAACACAGAAGCACGTGCTCGACCACGCTTCTCGACTTTAGGGCCATGACACACCGCTTCGGCGAGTGCCATTCGTTTTCCCTCCACATTGTATTACTCATTCACATCACAGATCAGGCCCTAATTCGAGTATTTAACTTGTTGCATATCATTTTCCATATACGTCTTGAATTCTTATGTCAATACCATACATGCATAATATTAATTTTCAATTACTTATAATTTACATCTAATGTAGCTGTGATTGAACTGTCGAATGCTTGGTATGTGCTTCTATAATCTTGTGCTTTATTATTATTTAGAGCAACTTTTAAATCTCAGGTTTAGTTATGATAAATTTGATTTGTTTGGCGACACTCCAATGGTGTTTCACATGAATTGCAAATTGGTATGGTAGTTAACATATCGGGTTTATACATATTTTTTGTTGTGAGGTAGCTAAACATGACTTTCGTTTGACATACATTGGGATTAACATAAGTTATGTTGTTAGGTAGCTGAATATGACTTTCATTTGACATACATCGGGATTAACTATTTGTCGTAGCGTAGTCATAACATCATCTTATAAATACTATTTAAATAATAAATAAAACATAAGGATGAGGGTTCGTATATCGAGGACGTGCAACATCTCACGACTTCATTCGTAATGGAATAAACTAAAAGAGGACTATTAGGCATTTATATTAATCTAAGTGTCGCCGCACACGGGCCACACGCCACAGCCACAAACGCTGCCGCGAGAAGCTAGAAGCGGCTACTAAAGTGGCTAAAGCGCTCGACAGCGGCCGACTAAGGTAAGGGAGAGAGGGGTGGGGAATCGCGCGAGTGACGTGTGGCGGCGTTTTGTATCGGCGCATTAAGTGGCTGGTGCGGGCCACAAAAAGCGAGCAACGACGATTTGTAGCGTGTGGCGGCCACCGGCGTAACGTGTGTGGCGAGTCCATATAAAATGTATGAAAACTACAAGAAATATTCCGGTGGCGGCGTTTTGTGGTTGTGGTCGGTGGCCCGTGTGCGGCGACACTAATACACCGAAAGACCACAGTAAAATCACACTACCTTATGGTGGTGTTGTGTTTCTACTGGTGAGTAGGGTTCCAGGGCTCCACGGGGTAGGGGATTGGGTTTAGGACCCTTAGACCTTGAAATGAAATGAAAAACCTTTATTGGCTCTCCTACACAATAAAAAAAATACTATAAACAGAAAATAAAAGAGAAAATTAACCTAAAAATAACAACATAAAACTAAGACGGCCAATCAGGACCCTGCCTCAGCTTATGCTGACACAGTGGCAGAATAATCTCTTGCTGTATCAGCGCTGGTATCCACCTTCTACCACATCATTTATCTTCACGGCCGGGCTCCACTTACACTTAACATCAGGTCGGGTAGTTGTTGCGCCTCGGATAAAAAATTGGTGTGCACGGACAACACATCTGGAGTGAAACTTCTTTTCTTAAATAACCTAACATTAGGTCGTACATAAGGTCGCATCATAGATATATAGATAAATATATAGATTTTCGTGTATGACGCTCGCAGCGTTTCAGCCTTCGCAAAGTTTTATTTCCGACTCACACCAGTAGCCCCAAAGTAAGCACTGTATAGCTTGTGTTATGGGATACTAGGGTAACGGATAGAATACATATACTGTAACATATATAAGTATATTTATATTGAAATACATATTAAACATCTAGGATACAAATGCTCGTATTCATCACACAAACATCTGTCCCCACCGGGATTCGAACCCGGGTCCTCTCGAGTTCGCGACACCATGAAACCCGGCGAATGAAAACTACTCGGCCACGGAGGTCGTCAAAATTACCCTCCAACTTTCATGCTCGTCGGGGAGTGCTGCGCATGCATCCCACACACACACACACACACACACACGACGCTGGTGACGCATTTCCGTTTCATCTTTTCCATAGGTTTTTTCCATAAATATCCCGTCCGAAAATAAAGGAGACCCGGCACTTTTCATAGAAAAAATGCTAAACTTGTATACAGTTGAATTTGGTCTCAAAATAAAGCCAAAATTATTTGCTACATAAAACTACTTTTGCCTTATTTTTAGTGAATCGTGGAAAGAAGTTATTTAATGATTAATATTTTTTGATATAGAAACCCTTTTGATATAGAAACCCTTTTGATGACAAACCTACGTATTTGACATTGACAGCTAGCTGCTGATGACAAATATTGCCAGACTACGTTACCCAATTAAGAAACACAGATAAAAAAAATAAAAAAGTATACAACTTTGGCACAAAATGCCGGGTGTCCTTTCATGTCAATTTTCTTTTCTTCCGTTGTGGGTCCGGTTCTTCTTAATTACACGATTGACGTTTTACCATAAACTCAGTACTTACATTCTCTTCTAGTGTTTGGTGACTCCATCACTAAGGATGACACTCAATTCAGTGCCATGTCAACTCGCGCGCTGCTGTCCATACTCAACGGGTTTCTGCTCACTACCACCTACAGGGGGCTCATTGTGGTAGTCTCACAAAACGTGCAGCAATACCTTGGTTACACAGAGGTACTTACCGAATTTTATTTGAAAATATGCTTACACATAATTTTCTTAAAAAATTGTATATGTTACAGCTAAAACCTGTTTTTAGATAGAACGCGTTTTCCCTAGTTACAACTAGTTTTTACTAAATGCCTTTGTTGAAACTAGAATCGACCGAGAATGCTCAGAATGGAATATCAGTTAAAACTAGGTCTTACTAGTCAGAACTAGTTAGAACTGTTCTCAATAACCACACCACCTGAATTACCTACAACAGGATTTCAAAATATTTACAGCTCAGATTATTATATTGTTGCTAGCCTTAAACTGTTCTTATTTTTTTTTAATGCTTAATGTAATCACACCTTTTTGAGAAAAAAATACGTTAGCACTGTGTCTTAGATCTTTTTAATAAATATTTTTAAAACTATATCTTGTTTTCAATCCCAAATTAGTTTCTCTGTTCTAGTTTAAACTAAAGCTCGGAGTGACATCTAGTTTTATCTGAAAATCAAATGTATTAGTGGTAAATTATTGTTTTGACTAGTTATTTCTAGTTTTAACAAAGGCATTTAGTAAAAACTAATTTTAACTAGGAAAAACGCGTTCTATCTAAGAACGGATTTTAACTGGTTACAGTTAATGTATGCTCATCAAAAGTCCATTATATTTTAAAGTTTTATATTAATTGATGTTTTGTTTTGACGTTACGAAATGTATGTATAATTTACAAGTGGCCCGCTTTCGCTTCGCTTCGGTGTAGAGCTGTAGTGTAGACTATAGTTTTTGTTGTCAGGCTTGTATTATACACAATTTCTTTCTATACTTATCTTGACTTTCTTTATATAATTATAAAGCTTCCATGAAAATTGGATATATACTTACTAATATTATAAAGCTGGAGATTTTATTTTTTTTGGTTGAACGCGCTTACCACAATTATTACTGGTTCTATTTGAAAAAAATATTTTTGTGTTAGATAGTGTATTTATTGAGGAAGGCTATATATGATCACGCTATGACCAGCAGGATCGGAGCATCGGTGAATAATATTGCATTAACGGGTAAAAATAGTCTATTTGTGAGGTTCCGTTGTCCGCGCGGTAAACGGTTAAAGTTACACAAAAATCATGAATGACGGAATTTTTTCCCTTTAAAAGTTCTAGAAAAAATGTCTGCGACAGCATTACGTCTTAAGTTATCTTTTAAGTTTGACTCACTATAAGATTTTACCTCAAATTGGCATACATATGGTATGGTAGACTTTTTGTAGATATTGATGTCCTCTATAAAACTTTAGTACATCATTTTGCTCTTTTGTCAATGACTTCCGCAGCGTACGCGATATAAGGTTATTTTTGTTTTTTTTTTCACACGTTGGGCTACATTATCGAAGTTTTCATATGGTACCCTAACTTTATTGAAAATATTCAATATCCTATGTTCATCAGGGATAATGTAGATTTGTAAATGTAAAAGAATTTTTCAAATCGGTCCAGTAGTTTCGAAGTCTAATCAATACAAACAAACAAACAATCAAATCTTTCTTCTTTATAATATTAGTATAAATTAAGGTTTTATTGCTATAGGTCCACTTGCAGCAATTTTGCTCAAAAACCAGATATATCCCATACAATAATGTCAAATTGACAGTGACGTTTTGACGTTTTTCTAGGGGTTCAATCTAGTTATAGTAGAATCGCTGCTTTTAACAAATTCGCTGCAAGTGGGTTTTAGTCACTAATAAATCAAATTGATAATATTAATAAAAGAATATGAGCATGAAAAATATTAAAAAGGTCATGTTGCTTAAACTTTTGATGAATTATTATTTTACGAAAACTTTTTGTGATTTTGATTATACTGGCGTAAACAAATCTAGCGCTCTAGAATCCATTTATCTGAATCGATGTTTGATATGGTTATCGCTAATATAAGAATAGCTCGCCCTTTCTAATATAGATTCATTATTAGTTCTATAGAAATTTTGGTTTGGGTACGATGAGGCTGGCAAATTCTTAGAATGAAAGCCTCTTAATAAATAAAGAAAAGAATCTATCTGCTAAGGTGGTATCTTGCAATAAAATCTGACAATAATTATAGTGTAATCCCTAATATAAAAACTGTAAAATAGAATTTGTTTCAATAGCCACAAGAACGACGTTATAGCATATTTACGGGTAGGTAAACATATACATTGAACCTATTAGAACAAAATTTATTACACAAAATTAAAAAAGAGCTAAACTATTTATAAATGTCCATTAAAAGTACCCGGTGAAATGACAAAAATTTCACCCAAGTAGTTTAAATTAAAACCAATATTTATTAGTCGTATTTTGTCTAAAATAATAATTATACATAGAAAAGTTTACTAGAAAAAAAAAGTTTTTCTAGTAAACTTTTCTTTAGATCTAAACATCTAGAAGTTAAATATTTAAAAAATTAAAACATATCTATATAATGAGTTTAGCGATGTATAGGAGGTACCTAACTATATCAGCGATACTTCATTGAACACTTCACAGCTGATGGAATCGTGCTTGCGAGCAAATTAGAAGGCTTTCCCTGTTGTTATGAAACAGAATAAAAAAACCTTGTGATCAAAAGCTCAATACTCGTGGCTCTAATACACTATAAGTATAGTAATATGATTCTAATGGCTGTCTATTTTTTTTGCTTATTCACTCACCTTGGTACGTCCGCTGTGTCCCTGTTCAAATTTCCATACAAAACTTCTTAGCATTTCACACGTATCGTATCGAGAGACGACGTATCTAACCTTGTTTTATTGTCCACATTATTATCTGATAACAATCTATATCTTTATATATATAATTCTTCTGTGAGTGTGTATGTCACTGAACTTCTTTTAAACGACTGGACCGATTTTGATGAAATTTTTTGTGTGTGTTCAAGGGGATCATGGTGGGGAGAATGGTTTAGATTCACAATTTTGTCCGCTGGACAACCCCTATTTTTTTAGGGCGGTACGAAGTTCGCTGGGTCAGCTAGTATATGTATAAAACTCAAAGGTGACTGACTGACATAGTGATCTATCAACGCACAGCCCAAACCACTGGACGGATCGGGCTGAAATTTGGCATGCAGGTAGATGTTATGACGTAGGCATCCGCTAAGAAAGGATTTTGATCAATTCTACCCCCAAGGGGATAAAATACCGAAGCGAAGCGAGGGCGGGCCACTAGTATGCAATATGTTTACTGTTCCAATGTAGAATCTAACGTCGATTTACGATTTCTCAGTTGGATCTTTTGGGACAAAACGTGTTCAACTTGATCCACGAGGGGGATCGTCAGCTCATGAAGGATATGCTGATGCCGAAGCCGCATATGCTCGGCCCCAACGGCGAGCTGCTTGTGCCAGACGAACCCGAGGGCAAGAACAAGGTCGCCGAAATGCTGGCCAGTGAGAAAAGGAGATTCATCATAAGGTAGAGTGCGATTCATACTTTATAGAGGTTGTGAAGTTAGCAGCGACCGCAACTCTGCCCTGCTTTTTCAATTTTGCTTCTGCTACCACTTGCTTGAGTGGGTTAATAATAATTAATATCGTATAATCATCATCATCATCAGCCTATTAATGTCCCCACTGCTGGGGCACAGCCTCTATAGGGAAGGCTATGGATGGAATAGCGAGATTGGGCCATGACCCACCACGCGGGCCCAGTGCGGATTGGTGGGTGCCAACGACTGCAGATGCAGCTGGGACCAACGGCTTAACGTGCCTTCCGAAGCACGGAGGAGCTCGAGATAGTAATTTTTGGTCACCCATCCAATGACCGACCACTGCTAAAGTTTCTTAAGTTCAACGATCGCAGCCGAACGCGCTAACCACTTGCGCCATCGAGCTCCTCATCGTATAGTATTGTATGATAATGTAGGTACTATTTTTCTATAGATTCAAGAAGTTGTGCCAGCGCTCGGAACCTTGCCAATACGCCACCTGCCACATCGAAGGCAGCCTGAGGAAGTCGGATCGGGCTTGCCGCGGCTACAACCGCTGCTGTCAGATGGTGCGACGGGCCCGCGCTCGGGGCGACAACCCTTGCAGCAGCGGCAACGATGTGGTGAGCTCTCCGTTTTCAAACTACCTTTTGGAATTGGAAATATCCTATGGAAAATATGAAACGGAAATGCGTCATCAGCGTCACACGACTATATATGTATATATATATATATATATATGTGTGTGAATGTGTGTGTTGGATGCGTGCGCTCTTTCCGACGAGCATGAAAGTTGGAGGGTAACTCTGCGAAGGCTAAAATAAAACACTACGAGCGACACGAGCATCACACGCGACAATCTATGTACACGTGTATGAGTGATGCGTGCGCTGCCCCATTCCCCTATGCCTTATGTACCGCCTAATGTTAGATTATTTAAGAAAATAAGTCATCGAGAGTTGCTACGAGGAGGGCAGAAATAGGGGTAGCCTCGTTAGAATAACTTACTCTCCTGTACTTTTAAATTAATAAGAAATAAACGGGCCCAGTAAGAGTCGGACTCCGCACGAATGATTCTGTACAACAAACCGCGAACGGAAAAATCATTTGTTCGCTTTCGTTTTCGTACATTACGAATCGGCGTTTTCAGTATTTTTTTGTTTAAATACAGCATATGGGACATCATATACTACAATTTCATTACTACTTATTATTACTACGACATTCCTAACTAGTTTCGATTTTGAGATAGACCCCACAACAAAAACAATAATTTACATTTATATCGTACGTTAAACGAGCTCTAGACAATGTGGGACCCCCCCCCCCTCAAAGAATTTTTTATAAGAAGAATAATTTAATTGAATTTTTAACTAAATATTCGGCTTTGGGTAAGCAGTTTACATAAAATACCAAACTATATTTTCAGTACTAAAACTCATTCCGTTTACGATCTACAGACCCGTGACATACGGACAGACAGACAGACGACAGAGTGCCAACAATAGGGTTCTATTTTTATCCTTTGGTACGGAAACCTAAAAACCAAATAAGTTGCCAGAAATACGTTTGAAAGGTAAAAAGTATAAGTTTTCACTTAAACAATCTTAACCTGGAACAACCCAGCATGCTTTAGTAACATAACTGACCAGTATGTAACGGACACGTTATGAAAACATAAGGTATTTAAACAAAAATATAGATATTGTTAATAAAATTTGGACTTAATCAATTTATTTATTTATCATACACAAACACTTGCCCGTTAACTAAAAAAAAATAACAAAGGCTGTAGTGAAGTATTCTTCAAGAATTTTTCCATTATTATGTACCCATGGCAAGAAAGAAAATAAACGTAGATAGATACCCTTCATCAAAATATATATTTGTAGTGTAGACAAACAATAAAACCAAGCCTAACAAGGACAAACGAATCCTATTGAATTCATATTCAATAAATAATACCAATTTATTCGATCGTATGATTCGATTACAAGTAAAAGTTTCAGATTCTAGACAACCTTTCCGCAGCAGAAAAAGAATGTCATAAATATATTATACGGGCGGACAACATACATTGAAGCGTAGGTACTTAACATTTGAACTGAATTATTCATTGCTAAACTCCACAGCCAGCGGCGAATAAAGAACAAGTGTTTGCATTCAAAACCAACATTTGACAGGAAAATTTCTGTTCAGTTTCAGATAAAAATATTAGCTGCTTTCAATGTTATCAAAATAACTATAATAGGGTATTTGACAGTATTAAAAATAAAGTGCCAATTGTAAGCATCTGTGTTTAGAATGAATATTGGCAGGGGTTTTTACTATTTTTACAAAAAAAATATTCATAATTTTACTAAAAACCCACGAAAAAGATAATAGTTTTCGTATATAATGTCACGTGACCCAAAACGCTGGGGATTGGCGGATCCTAAAATGACGTCACACGCAAGTAAACTTCCGGTTAAAGTGACATTACATTGTATCGTTTGACGTTTTAATAACAGTCGAGTGCCGTAACACACTAGTAAGACGCCATATTGTCCAGAAAACCGTTTTCGCGGCAACTTGAAAATGGAGTTTTTGATTTGGTTATTTTTACTGAAATACACAACAAAATGATGAATATCCACTTTTTACGGACTCCATAAACATAAGTTAATAACGTGAGATCGTTTTCTAAAACTTGTCAAATACCCTATTACCTTGGTATTGTAGGATAGTGTAGGTATACTTTAGGAGTACATATCATTTCATTAAAAAACTTTACGTCAAGCATGGTCTAAATCTTATATACTAATAGGTACTATACTAACAGTCTTATTTCAATTCATATAATAGGTTCTTATTAGGGTAGAAAGCATTCCAATGAAGGCGGTCTCTACGCAAGCCTGTTGATGTTGAAACAAATCATTGATTCAATCACTTAACTCGGCCGTTTGCTTACTAAACGGGCGTGTATTCCTCCAGGTGTTCGTGGGCATTGTCCGCTTGGCGGCCGAGACTTTCATCACGGAGAGTAACATGGAGGCATGGCGCATGGAGTATAGAACGCGGCACTCCATCGACGGCCAGATCATACAGTGCGAACAACGCATATCCCTCGTGACCGGCTACATGACGCACGAGGTGAACGGCATCAACGCCATGAACTTCATGCATAAGGACGACGTCCGGTGGGTGGTGATCGCTTTGCGAGAAAGTAAGTTTTGAGTTCTGCTCGAGTAATACCAGCTTACAGGGTGTCGATTCTGCTACGTTAAAGTAATGGTCGTACATCAATGGCGTTTCAGTAGTTTCGATTTATGACAAGTTATTTATTATTCAAACACAAAATTACAAATGCATCTGCTTACTCATTTGTTAAGTTTTACTAACAAGAACTGTTTTGAAAAACTTATAAACCACCATTCAGACATGATTTTAATGTTAGCAGAATCGACACCCTGGTCGGCCACGACTTTTGACTTAGCGATTAGGGCATCGCACTACGCGTTTCACTAGGTTGGGCTTTTGCGCTAGCCCCGCAGCTGTAGGCTTCAGTTCATGATGGTGCTTCTAATATTTAGGTACATTTGTTCTCATCGCTTAGCACGTCGCGTCGCTCATAGCGGCAAGATCGTGGCCGAGCCGTCACTATATGTGTTCGTAAATTGTCTGTGTGTGTGTGTGTGTGTATTCTTTGTTTTGCAAATTTTATGCAACTTTATCAAAGTAAAATTTTTGATATGCAGATAAGATACATTTTAACGATCATCTATTTCAACGAAAGAAATTATAAATCGATAAATTTATGCTCACTTGTATGCTTGTTCATAACGATGTAGAGTGAAAATCTTGAAGTAAGATATGTGAGAGGTATTAAGTTTATTGTATCTTATCTCATCAGTATCTGATTTGATTAATAGCCGTATTAGAACTGCTATTAATAATATTTTTTTAGTAAGGATTTTGTACCTTTTTTGACTTGTTGGCTTGCGACTGAAAATCAGCGTTAAGTACTACATATACTTCCGGACACTTCTATCGGCCCACTTAGTGTTATATGTTCCAACGGTCTCTAGCAAAAATATATGTTTATGTTTGAGCAATAATTAGAAAAAAATACACACGAAAAGATGGTTAAAAAATCAGCTTCCTAACTGCCTAGATAATAACTTTTTGTTCAATGTAACATTTATTTTTAGCTAGGGACCTAAAAAAGTTAATAGGTGGGCCGATAGATTTGTCTGAATTGTATTTTTCTGTTAACCAACATTTCTGTTATCATATTGCTGAGCTGACGATCCCTGTGTGCTTGCATTATAATTTATTTATTATTTATTGATATCAAATAACAATCTTGTATCCTAAGTAAAATTCAGAAAGTGTTGCCGTAAGACTTCTTAATGTTTCTGAACGTACTACACTACGCCTTTGCAGTGCAAGGCGATGATATTACTAAAGATAAAACTAATATGAAACGCAAAAGAGCTACCTCGTGGAAAACTTTTTTTGCAATTACTCCGGTATATAGGTAATCAGAATAGCTGGTAAACAAAATAACCTAAAATGTTTATGTACATTCCACAGACACTGATCACCAACATCAAATAATTTCATAATCTTTTTGAGTTGTGTACTAAATAAACAAAACACTCATTGTGATATATATGGCTGCGCGTTATATGTATAAGCGGTCAGTCATGCGACGACTTTCCAGTTGAATATTATGATTTTCTAAAGAAAATTCTACTAGAAAATAATCCACGTGAAAGAAATATATATAACTATAATGATTTTCACTGTAATCCGTGCCCTCTTAATAATAAACGAAAAACAAGCTTGTATTGGTTACTCCATGTTTAGTATCTATTCATTGAATTACAGATGGCATTTGAGTGATATGAACAAAACACGGCGTACCTAGTCTAACCTTATTCCTCGTTTATTAATAAGAAGACACTGATTATAGTCAAAATCATTATATTCAACTGGAAAGTACTCGTATGACCGCTTATAAATATTAAGTGCACAATCTTTAAAGCGCAAAATGCTTTGTTTGTAACGATCTATACGAAATTATGAAATTTATTCAACTTCACAACAAAGTTTATTATACTTTTATTTTTTTAAGTATTCAACTGTTAGATGCCTGGATTGTTAACGCACCCTACGGGCTCCCGTAGTTTTTGGCGTTTGACTAAGGCCGTGCAGCACAACTTCTGACAGCCCTCGCTGCCACCTCTGCGATGTCCAAATGGGTCACTAGCTCATGAGCCGCAAGAGAAAGCCGATTTGTTGGCAAAGCTCTTTGCGGCTAATTCCCGAATCAGTGATTGCAATGCACTGCCATCTACACTACCTAATTGTGGAACTACGATGCCTGACATTCAAATCAGGCAGCATGATGTTCGTGCGGAGTTGCAATCATTCGTCGTCCGGAAAGCTAGTGGACCCGATGGCATCCCAGCAGTTGTTCTAAAACATTGTGCAGCGGAGTTGTCTCCCGTGCTTATGCCGGGGGCTTGGAGAGATACCAATGTGCAACCGGTGCCCAAAAAGGGGACCGCTCAGACCCGGCCAACTATCGGCCGATAGCTGACACCTCAGTGTTGTGTAAAGTTTTAGAAAGGGTCCTTCCATAAATCCATCTGACCCGCTACCTAGAAGATTACTCTCTGATTCACGATCGTCAATACGGATTTAGGCTGAATCGATCGACGAGTAACCTTCTAGCGTACGTAATACACATCTGGGGTGAAGCTATAGACAAGCGAGGAGAGTCTCTGGCTGTTAGCCTTGTCATCGCCAAGGCTTTTGACAAGGTCTGGCACAAAAGCCTTCTCACCAAGCTTCCTGCATACGGTCTGCCTGCTCAGCTCTGCGCTGTAGTAGCTGACTTCCTGCTTGAGCATAGAATTCGCGTCCTTACGATGGGATGTAGTACGCAGTTTATGTCAGTGAATGCCGGTGTTCCTCAGGACTCCGTTCTATCTATCCCCCACACTATTTCTGCTGCATATCAATGATTTGATTCCACTTGCGAATATTCATTGCTATGCAGACGATAGTACAGTGCATGCGAGTTACTTTGGACACACAGCGGCTGGACAGGTAGAAACCAGAGAGAAACGGGAGAATCTTGTCGTTGAACTTAATCAGGCTTTGGACCACATTTCCGAATGGGGTACCAGTTACTTGGTTGAGTTCAATGTCAAGAAAACTCAGGCTTGCGCTTTCACGGCAAAAACATCGCCATTCCTTCCCCTTCCCTCTCTTCAGGGCACAACACTGGCGCTATAGAGCAACATTACCATGCTCTGTATGGAAGTTCGCTCGGATCCAAAGACCTACATCGAATCCTTGATCAAAATAGCTTCACGCAAACTCGGAGACCTTAACAAAGTGCGGCGTTTTTTCACGCCCGATCAACTGTGCTTGTTGTACAAAACGAAAGTGCGGTCATGCGTGGAATATTGCTCGCACCTCTGGGATGGCTCCACTAAGTACTTACCCGATGCCTTGGATAGGTTGCAGCGGCGCGCTGCCCGCATCATTGGCGATGAAGAGGTAACTAAGAAACTCGAGTCTCTACAATTACGCCGCGATGTGGCATCATTAAGCGCATTCTACGGACTATACCACGGCGAGTGTTCTGAGAACATCAGGTGGGGTAGGGTCATTTGCCTACCTCGCTATTAAAAATAAATACTGTGTCCTTTTCTATAGAAAAAGGTATGATTTTAGGCAAAGGTTTTCACATGAAATTTTCCCATTAATGAAAATGAAGATAAAACTTTTTAAATTTGCTAACTTTTTTTGTGGCTTGCATACGATGTAGTACGTGAATCAGGTCCATCCATTTTTGGTAAACAAAATAAAAACAGCTAGCTGTCACTCAAACGATACCAGGCAATAAATCGAACATAACGCTTGCATGGCAAAAATAACACTGTTCATTAATAGACTTTAAAACTTTCGCGTCGCATTATATATATTATTTATTTTCCCACAACATTACACATGTTAGCAATAAGTCTACATCTGCCAAACAGTGTAACAATTTGTCGACAGCAGCTATAGTGGTAATCTTTTACATGTATAAAAACCTATCTAATTTATTAAAAAAAATGCCTATATACCTTTAAACACGTTTACATAATTATACATAACTTATACAGGCATACTATGATATGTATTATGACCTACACCAAAACACAGATTTATCAGTCTATTAACACACAAATATTTAGTTGGTATATAACATTTCACGGGTTAGAACGCGTACTGTAGTAAAGGTATCCGTAACTTTTTTATCCAGACGTTTCGACCAGGTTACGCTGGTAGTCACTTTGGATCCAAATAGGATAAAAATCTTTCCGCTTACATTTCACAAGAGAATCGTGTATCAGGGTGAAATGAGTTTATATGTTCTAAAAATTTACCTACTTTTCATGAACCGCCACCAACGATAGAAAATACGTCGCCTACGTATCTCTTCCAAAGTCGTATGGCTCTCGGGCTGAAATTCATGCGCCTTCTCTTTATAATGCTCCATCCACTAAGTTGGCAAGTATAGGGTCGAAACGTCGGGATAAATAAGGTACGAAAAATCTTTACAATATGAAATGTTATGGAGCGATTACAAGTGGTCGTTAGCCCGAATACGAGTGCCAATGGAATTCGGGTAAACGACTAAGGCCGTATTACAGAATGACAACTAAGTGTTGATCTTTACTTGATAACAGTTAGAAAGTGTCGCTATGTGCTATATACTTATGGCGACATCCCTTTCTAACTATGCTCAAGACTAGATCAATCACTGAGAATCTCTCTAAAACTATTTAACTATTATGTTTGACCTGTTTGTTTGATTTGATTTAGTTTGACTTAATTATGTTTGACCTATTAATTTGATTTGATTGGATTTAACTTGATACGATATGATTTTGATTTGACTATTATGATATGATATGATTATGATGACATGATATGATATAAATTTACTTGATTAATTTTTAAAATGGATTGATTTTGTTTAAATTTGGTTGGACCTGATGTGATTTAATATGATCAACAATTAAGTGAAATTAATGTATTTAATGTTAAGCTTAAGTTTGTTGCAACCCTCACCGGAAAAATCATCGAAAACAATTCATCGAATTACAATTCTTCGAACACAATTCATCGAAAAAATAATTCGTCGAACAACAATTCTTC